TCCATCTTGGGGTGTCGCCACAGAGTAAGGGCTGCTTGGTGCTCGATTTGATGACCAATCGATTGGTCACCACAGTGGAGGTGGTCTTCTACGAGACGATGTCGCTTGACTGATGGAAGGCGACAAAGCAGACTCCCACTGAGACCGTTGATCCTGCTATCTTCGACGAGGCGTCATCGTGGCCAGATCTGGTGGCAGAGGATGATGAAGAGGATGACAAGGTTGGGGTCGTTTTGCCACCTACAACAATTTCGACTACTCGACCCAATCCTCCTTGTGCTGAAGTTCCTCCTATCCCTCGAGCTGCTGGTGCTGGTTCTTCTGTCGACGACCCATCTCCGAAGGTGTGTACAGGTTCCCCTTGGTCGAAGAGACAGACGTGCCCTTGCCCTCACCGAGTGTGCCCTCTTTCTTCTTCGTCATCCTTTGGTGAGGAGGAGGGTGAGGTGCCTTTTGGTGTCATCCCCAGTGAACAACATACGGAAGAGCGGCAGAAGAGTGTTGCAGACGAAGTCCAGACAGAAGAGTTGTCTTCATTGGAGCAGTCTGCATAGAAGCTATCGGTAGAGGATCAATCTGTAGGGAAGTTGTTTGCAGGGGAGTTGTCTGCAGGGGAGCAGCAAACTCTGCGGCGATCGATGTGCTCCAACAAGGGTGTTCCGCTAGTTCGTAATCGCGTCACGTTGACGGCGTTCTCGATGAATGTCCTAGATGGCAGAGGTGAAGACGTAGCACTCAAAGAGCTTGACTTGGCAGAAGATCGTGTCACAGATCCGGGATGTCGCTGGTACATATCGAAGATGCCCGTCCCTCTCGCTCTGAAGAGTTGGAAGGGCCCTGCAGTGAAGGCATCAATGGACAAGAAGACGCAAAATCAGTGGGACCAGGAAACCTGGGATTTGGTTTTCCCACATTTTGGCATCAATGTGATGGGAAATCGCTGGGTTCTCGCAACCAAGTATCTTCACGACGACACGATAGAGAGAGAGAGAATGGACGTCACGCCGTTTAGGGGTTCACACAGCTGCCAAATTTGGACTACGACCTGACGTACGCTCCTATCGGCAGCTCTCTAACTGCTCTTCTGCAGCTACTTATCGCTGCAGCATTTGACTAGGAGCTGATGCAACTCGACATGACGAATGCCTTTCTAAATGTTCCCATCGATAGTCCTCTCTACATGAAGCAGCCAAAGTACTACGACGACGTCACTGACAGAGTTTGCCTACTGAAGAAGAGTCTACGGACTCAAGCAGAGTCCAAAGTTGTGGTATGAAGAACTCGACGGAGTTTTGTATAGCGGAGGATAGTCGAAGAATCAGGTTGATGAAGCCTTCAACTTACACGAGGACAGGCATGGCAACAAGTGCTACTTGCTCCTCTACGTCGACGATCTGCTGGCTGCAAGTCGGAGCAAGGCGCATTTGGCAGAGTAGAAGACTCTGCTCGAAATTGCATTTAAGCTTCTATAAATCAGTCCTGTGCTGAAGTACCTGGGGCTGGAGCTGATGAGGGATAGAGTTGCTCGAAATATTTGGTTGCACCTGAGAGGCTACATTGACAAACTACAGGGACGTTTTCTGCCAAGGGGGATTCCTCGACGAAGCCTGAAAACGTCGATTTTTGTCGATGCGTTCAAGGAGTTGACGCTCAACAATGCAGAACTGCAGGGGCGCACAGAAGAAGAGAACCGGCAGAGAGTGGGATCTCTGCATTTCGCCGCCTGCACGAAACGTCCGGACAATGTTTTTGCCTCCAGCAATCGTGTATGGGCAGACTTTTCGAAGTTTTCTGCACTAGAAGGAGCTCGATTTCTACATTGCGTACCTCATTGGGACGCACGATTGGCTCTCGAGCTCAGAAAAGACAGCAAAGATTTGCGCCTCATCGGTTTCGCAGATGCTAACAATGCTGGCAATAGGCAGAGTTGCACTAGCACAAGTGGCTATATTTTCACACTTGGTGGAGCAGCGATTTCGTGGGCAAGCAAGAAGATCAAGTGTGTCACCCTCTCGACCACGGAATCTGAGTACATCGTTGCTGTGGAGGCTGGCAAAGAAGCTCGATGAGAGTGTCGAATGACGTGGACGATGAAGTATAGAACTCGCTCATCAAACGTGAGGTCGTTCGTGTCACATGCGAGATCACACGTCCGTATCCTACGAAAGTTAGCGAACTCCATCAACGAAGAGACGAAATTAGATGCGGAAGCATAACGGTGACGAATCTTGCTCGAAGATGGATGACAGAACATGCCAGAAGGGTCTTCAAATATTTGCAGCGCATCTGCCCTTCTCCCCCCCTCCAAGAAAAAACAACTACCAGTAGCGAGGGTACAACTCCAAGAAACCCATTGCTCCAGGGTAGTCGAAATACTCCCCAATGCTCCGTAAAATCCTCGAACTCAGCGTCGAAGATGCCCCGGCAAAGCTCCAAGAGCTAGAACTCCCAAATATGCTCCAAAGTAATGATTCTTCCTCAGGGGAAACTACTCCGAAGGTCTTGAAAAGTAGACGTAACTGCTTCGGAAGACTCTCATACGAACTGAAAAGTCTGTACGAGTAGGAACACTGCTTGAGAGCTGGCCCCAACACAGCTCCAACAGTTGCACATACGCCTAGCTGCCATATCTTCTTGATTTGATACTGCGGCTGTCGATTCGGATGGCGAGGCTGCGACGGGGTCGTGTTTACACTATCAGGCGAATCAGGCGAATTGACGATGGAGGCGGTAGGGGGTGGTGGCGAGAGGAAGGCGATGATGGCGAGGGTAGTAATCTGTACTGAACCACTCTAATTGAAAACTTCAAACATAGCCCGAGGTCAAATATCGCCAGATGCATCAGCTACTTTGTCCGTACTCGCCGAAAATTTCGGAAAGAGACGAAACAGCTGCTGCACTCCTTCCGTTTCGTGTACCTAGTATACGCGGCAAAATTCGATCGATATTGCTCGTACCCTCGATGATAGCGGCTACTGCTCTAGCTGTAAGTCCATGAACTGCTCCAGCGAAAATGTCGGAACTTCGTCGATACTTAACCAAAGCGGCAACACTGCTTCACAGCTACCCGTAAAATACCCAGGCGTCACGGCGTCCTTTAGCAGCACTCCCACGGTTGCTCCACCAGCTGTACCCATGAACTAAACCCTTTATATTAGGGAAGACCGGAGTCCACCGTCTCGGCATGATATTTTGGCCGTCGATCAGGGTCAACGCGCATCATACGTCGTCGATCTCTGCCCAGCTGTTACCCAAAATACTATGGTACCCCTGCCATCTGGCCATGCAGATGTTCACCCATCTCGCGGCTGCTGCAGGTTACCCAAAACCGCTTCGCTGTTGCTTAACTAACTAAGAGAATCCTGGAGATAGGAGTGTGCACGCTTCTAGTCAGAGGAGCTTTAACGAGCTCGCCTACAGATCGCTGGACAGCTCCCTCCTCCGTCGGAAACTAGTCAAACTACACCCGCAAAAATCGGAAACTCCTTCTGCTGTATCAGGTGAAACCCTCAGCTCTACTGCAACAGTAACTCCAAAACCTCGGGGACACTCCATCAGCACAGTGTAGTTCGCAGGTTCACCCCCCTTATTCCACCAAGAGTCGTCGATTAACAAGTCGGCACTGCTACCTGGTGGGGATGGTGATTTCCGGGCGACATAGCTGAGCGAGCAGCAGCTCGAACGCCGCTAACCCTTAACTGCTCTAATACTCCCGTCGTTCTTCTTCCACTTTTCAACTCCATGCAGTTAACGCTTTCGGCGACCGGTGGAAAAACACTTAATACACACCCGAGGGTGGTGGCCTCCCTCAATTTCACACTCCCATTGCCGAAACAGTGTTGAAGTCCGTTCCATCGTCTGCAACTAGCCTGCCGGAAACGCCGGGACCCGCGACACAGCTACAGTCCACCCTGGAGCTTCATGGCGCACCAGACGTACATAGCCGTACATCCCGCCATTTTTGCCACCCCGCGCGCGCCAGACGACCAACTCCCGGCCGCCTGAGGACTCCCGTGCACTTGTCTTCTCCTGACGACCGACTCCCGGCCGCCCAACAACTCGTCGCTATTTTCGGAAGCCAATCCGAACACTTCATTAGAAACTCCCGAAAATAACGAAACACGAACGAACATACCCGAAAAGTACGGCGAGAATGTCGCCATATCTTCGACGGGAAATAATTCCATCTACGACCAGGGAACGGGAGGACCGGCTAATCCCAACCGTCCATCGGACACGATCTGACGGCATCGGCAACGCCTGCACAATTAATCTCCGCGTCGTCCGCTCGCCATCAGCATCCTTCCGCCCCCTTCCGAGTATGATAGGGTCAAAATGGGTTCAGGGCGACTCAGGGTCAGGTTGAGGTCGGCGGGGGCTGGTTTGGCGCGAGAACCAAGTGCCGAGCCTGCGGACCCGAAAGGTTCACGTGTACTCGCTATGGCGAGCCCCACTAAGGAATGGTAATTCCTTATGTGCTGCCAAAACCTAACTCTTGCATACGAAAATTTAGGGCAAGGTAAAATTCAGAAGTACATGGTACAGCAAACGTGAAAACTGTATCAGTGACAAAACAGCTGACAGCGAGCATCGCAAATATGCTCGGCGGGACTCATATAGCTGCCCAAGTTATCCGGAAAAACGCGATTTTCTGGAAGCGCGTCATTCCCTCGAGACTCGACGCATTTGTCAACTCCGTGGAAATTTGGGACCTCTTCGAACTTGCTCAAACCCGCCTCGTTGGCAGGAAAACCACCAAGGCAATAGAGCGCCAACGAGGATGAGCCACGAAGTCGGACAGCGAATTATAGACTTTTTTTCCCAGCCTCACTGCCATCCGCCAAGTCTGCAACGCGCTGTCATCTGCGACAGGTGACGTGTACCTTGCCTCGGTGGCATTGATATTTGACGATGAGGCAGGAATTGGGGAAGACCTGAAGCGAGACAGGAGGAAACTATAGAACCACCTGCACAATACTACTAGGTACCTACACCTGCCTAGGACTGTAGTCGTAGGTCAACTGTCTCGTCGATGCTGGTACTGTAGTAGCAATCGTGGAAATTCTAAGGCTGTACTAGAGGAAGCGCACACGAATCGTGCACACACCGCCTTTCCCTTCCCCCCCCTTCTCCACCCCATTCCCCCCCTCTCCACCACTGGGAAGCCATTTCTGGGATGATGCAGCAGCGGTCCGGCGGCAAGAAAGGGTCGTGGCCGTGGTCGTGGCCTTGGTCGTGGCCGTGGATTGCAAGCTCGGTCTGGCTCCTGCTGGTTTGTTGCTATGACTCACCACTGCCGACGAGGCTCGACTACATGCCTGAAAGGTCCAAACTCCGCACAGACTCGAATATCGAGCGCCGAATGTAGTAAGTACCACCTACACATGATGATTATAACTTCGTCGGAGACTAATTGCTGTGAGTGCGTAGCGGAACGAATATATTCGTCTACTCCTCAGCATATCGAGAATTGTATCATGCAGGCCACCAGAGACCACCAGCAGATACTACCGAAGAACTTATTGTCGCGTCTTGCCCGCGTCGCCCGCGCGTAGGTCAGTTTTTTTTCAGCTTATCGTAAACTACGAAGCCCGTCGTTAGCGGGCGTGTGATATGCCCTATTTAAACAGTCTACCAGTTCGTCGCTACAGTTCTAGTCACCTCTAGACACCTCGACCATGGGTCGGGCCAGTTTAAGTCAATCCGGCGGATTCTCGCTCAGATGGTTTCTGGCCGTCATCGCCGCGACGGCCGCGATCGCTGCTCTCCTCGGAGCCATGTCCTTGCCGTGCTTGGCGGTCCGTCATGTGCAGCCAGGTAATAGCGCCAGATGCAAGTAGTTTACCATAGAGACGTCTCAAAACGAAGCTGATGCGCGAAGGCATCAGTCTCCTCTCTCCCAATTCGACCTCATTCCGCCTCCTTCCCGTACTTTCCCTTTCTTTGCCCGCTCACTCCTTCCCCCGGCTCACTCCTTCCCCCGGCTCACTCCTTCCCCTGGCCCCTCTTCCTCCACCACCAAAGCCTCTTTGCACAGCCGTTCCCTCCCTCCCCCCCTCCCCCCCAACCCCTCCCACCGCCCTCACCCCGCCTCCTTCATCCGCTGTTCCCCAATCCCCCCCCAGCTTCTTCCCCTGAGGGCTCCGCGCTCCACATCGTCTGCCTGCGCCCCCTCCATCCGGTGCCACCCCCTTTCTCCCATCTTCTCCTTGCCCTTTTCCGAATCCCCCCCTTTCCCCCCGCAGCTTCCCCCGATGCCTCCGCGCTCTACATCGTCCGCCTGCGCTCCGCGCCACCCGTCGCTTCGTACCGCGGCGGATTGGCCGGCTACCCGGCAACGGCCGTCTGGGACAGCGACCCTAACGGCGATGCTGTCGACGCCACGTCAGACGACGCCGCCCACGATCCCCCAGCAGCAGCTCCCGAGTCCCCCTCCTCCTCCTCCTCCTCCTCCTCCTCCTCCTCCTCCTCCTCCTCCTCCTCCTCCTCCTCCTCCTCCTCCTCCTCATCCCCGGCTAGCAGCAATGTCGTTGGTGCCGCACCTGATGCTTCTGTTGCTGCTGCTGCGGCTTACACTAACGGTTTGGGGGGGATCGGGCGCGTGTTTCGCCGGCCGCGTTTGGACGTGAAGGGCCCGGCCGTGAGGGCGTTCAAGCAGCTGCTGCAGCGCATGCAGCAGGCCGTGGTGCGGGAGAGCGGGGTGGACCCGGCGAAGGTCGTCTACAGGTGAGCTGCAGTGAGTCGAGGCTGCTTTGACAGCGGATACAGCATGCCATGGGTGCATGACGGCGGATACAGCATGCCATGGGTGCATGACGGCGGATACAGCATGCCATGGGTGCATGACGGCGGATACAGCATGCCATGGGTGCATGACAGCGGATACAGCATGCCATGGGTGCATGACGGCGGATACAGCATGCCATGGGTGCATGACGGCGGATACAGCATGCCATGGGTGCATGACGGCGGATACAGCATGCCATGGGTGCATGACGGCGGATACAGCATGCCATGGGTGCATGACGGCGGATACAGCATGCCATGGGTGCATGACGGCGGATACAGCATGCCATGGGTGCATGACGGCGGATACAGCATGCCATGGGTGCATGACGGCGGATACAGCATGCCATGGGTGCATGACGGCGGATACAGCATGCCATGGGTGCATGACGGCGGTTACAGCATGGCATGGGTGCATGACAGAGGGGTTGACGCCGGGCTGCGTTCCCTCTTCCTTCCTTTGTGATTTCTCTTCACTTGCCATTCTCCTTCCTCCCTTCCGCTCCTCTCCCCGAAACCCCTTTCCAGCTTTGCAGATGCAATAGACGCCATGGAGCGGGTTCTCAGCGCCCCTCACCCCAACGCAGGTCAAAAGGACGAGGGGCCACCCCTCCATCCTCGCTCACCCGTGCACCCTCCACCTTTGACGCGCACAACGGCTTCTCTTGGCTTTCCCTGTCGCCCCTTGCACGCCCTCGTCCCCTTCCAGCTTACAGCACGCGCCAAATGGCTTCTCAACGACCCTCACACCAGCGCAGGTCGAGACAACGAGGCGCCATCCATTAGTGGCCTATATCATGCGCTCTCGCATCGTGTGTGCCGCCACTATACACGCTCGATTGTCTCCCCCTGTTTCCCCTGCCTTCCCCTGCCTTCTCATGCCTTCCCCTGTCTTCCCCTTTCCCTGGCTTGCCTTCCCCTGTCTCCTGCCTTCCCCTGCCTTACCTTGCCCGCCCTCCTTCCCCGTCCAGCTACAAGCACACGACGAACGGCTTCTCAGCGACCCTCACCCAAGCCCAGGTCCAGAGGATGAGGCGCCACCCGTCAGTGGCCTCTGTCACCCTCTCCCGCACCTATCGCCCCGCCACCACCGACTCGTACAACTTCCTTGAGCTGCCCAGCACCCTCTGGACCGCTGCCAGCACACCCAGTAGCGCTGGTGACGGCATGGTGATTGGGATCATTGATACTGGCGTGTGGCCTGAACATCCCTCCTTTGACGACACGGTAAGTTCTGCAGCTCCCTCTCCTTCCTTTTCCCCCCCTGAGCGGATGCTTGCGCTCCCACCCAGTAGCGGCAAGGTGATTGGTATGATGGAGCATGTGGCCGGAACACACCTCCCTTGATGTCACAGTAGGATACAAGCACCTGTGTCCGGTTCACCTTATGGGCCGCTGCTGCTGTTGCTGCTGCTGCTACTGGCGAACCAGGTGGTGCTGTGCTGCTGATGTGATGATAGTGTGTAAGTCTCTCTCACCTTCCATCCCGTTTCCTCCCTTTCTCCCTTAACTTTCCCCTCCCTTGCACGATCCTTGCTCCCTTTAACCCTCCCTCTTTCTCACCAATTATCCATCTTTCCTTCTCTCACAAGCGGTCCGTGTTTTGATGTAAACCTGGGTACAAATTCTCTCGCTCCCTTTGCACCCCCGTGACGCCCTCTTTCCTATCCTTTCACCAGTGCCTCTGCTGGACCACCACAAAACATTCTTCAGTTCCCCATTGTCAATTCCTATCCTCCAACAGCAGCAGCAGCAGCAGCCCTATCCAGCTCCTGCGCAACTGCCAATGCCTTCTCTCTTTTTCCCCCCAACCGACACTCCAAACCCCGCCCCCCCTCCGCCCTCCCCCCATGCCTCCCCCTTCCCTTCCCCCTTCCCCGCTGCCCCAGCACAAGTGACTTCGCCTGCAGCAACAAGAGCATCGGAGTGGGTGTCTTCCAATGGAGAGTGCTTGGTGCTTGAGCCACACAAGGCAACAATGCTGTCCTCCGACTGACTCGCACGCACCACCCCTCCACCCCATCACCCCGCCACCCTGCGACCCCTCCACCCTTCCTCATCCCAACCAGGGCTACAGCAGCACTCTCCCATCTGGTTGGTCCGGCACGTGTCCCACCACAAGCGACTTCGCCTGCAACAACAAGATCATCGGCGGGGGCATCTTCTACGAAGGGTTTGACCGCATCATGGGCGTCAACCTCACCGCAGATTGGCTGTCTCCCCGGGATTCTGATGGCCATGGCACCTGGGTCGCGGGGTGAGTGCATGGATGTGAAGAGTGGTTCTAAGGGTTTGGGAGCGGTGGCACCCCTATTGGCATTTCCTCGATCCTGCTGGCACCATGGAGTGTGACAGGACATGGCACGTGGTTTTCGGGTGTCTTGTCTGTGTAGCTGTTGCTTCTCGGTGCATGTTGCATGGAGCATGGTGCACGTTGTATCATGGGGCATGGTGAACATCGCGTGGTGCATAGTGCATGGTGCATGTTGCAAAGTGCATGCATAGTGCTTGGTGAACATCACATAGTGCATCGAATGTGGTGGATATTGTATGGTTCCAGCTGCATTGCGCATTTCTCCACATTCATTTTGCAGGCAACAGCAACATGCAGGTTTTCAGGGGTGGAAGCGCCAGTGTTTTTGAAGTCGACACAAAATATACCAGTGGCATGGCATGGGCTGGCAAGGCATGGCATACCCCAAGGTGTGTTGGCAGACATGGGGAAACTGCATGTACGTGGCAAGGGCATTCCCCTCACACTCCGTCCATCCCTGCATCATGCTTCCCCACCCCCAGAGCTGCAGCAGGGAACAGCGGCGTTCAGGTGCCTGATGTGGGCAGCGCTAGTGGCATGGCACCGGGAGCACGGCTGGCGATCTACAAGGTGTTTTGGTCCCCGCAGTGGGATATTAGGGCTACCCAATCAGACCTCTTTGCAGCCGTTGATCAGGCCGTGGCGGACGGTGTGGATGTGCTGAGTTTGTCCATACAGGGGGAGATTCACACGAAATTTTATGAAGACTATTCAGGGCTTTACTTTGACGACATTCCTTTCCTCGCTGCTAATGCGGTGGGTAAAGCGCAGGTTCATTGGATGGCAGTAAGTTTTTTTTTTTGGCTTTTTTCTCTGCTTCTTTTTTCCCTTATGTTGTGTTTGTATCGGTACCCATGTTCTTGTGAGGAACCCTTTTTGTTGTGTGCTCGTTCTCGATCTCGTGATCATTCTATGACCTGCATTTGCAAGTGCAAATCTAGTCGTATGGAGATGTTTGTCTTCAATGTGCATGCAGTCGTTTAGTTTTGTAAACCAATGGAACTTCCCTTGTATGGCATCCATGTCTCCCGTCTCTCGCTGGCATTCCTACACCCCGCCCTTCTCCCCTTCTGTGCCATTACTTCTATCACCTCTCGGCCTCCGTCCGTCCGTCCGTCCGTCCGTCCGTCCGTCCGTCCGTCCGTCCGTCCGTCCGTCCCTCCGTCCCTCCGTCCCTCCGTCCCTCCGTCCCTCCGTCCCTCCGTCCCTCCGTCCCTCCGTCCCTCCGTCCCTCCGTCCCTCCGTCCCTCCGTCCCTCCGTCCCTCCGTCCCTCCGTCCCTCCGTCCCTCCGTCCCTCCGTCCCTCCGTCCCTCCGTCCCTCCGTCCCTCCGTCCCTCCGTCCCTCCGTCCCTCCGTCCCTCCGTCCCTCCGTCCCTCCGTCCCTCCGTCCCTCCGTCCCTCCGTCCCTCCGTCCCTCCGTCCCTCCGTCCCTCCGTCCCTCCGTCCCTCCCTCCGTCCCTCCCTCCGTCCCTCCCTCCGTCCCTCCCTCCGTCCCTCCCTCCCTCCGTCCCTCCCTCCCTCCGTCCCCCTCCCTCCCTCCTCCCTCCCTCCCTCCCTCCCTCCCTCCCTCCCTCCCTCCCTCCCTCCCTCCCTCCCTCCCTCCCTCCCTCCCTCCCTCCCTCCCTCCCTCCCTCCCTCCCTCCCCTCCCTCCCTCCCTCCCTCCCTCCCTCCCTCCTCCCTCCCTCCCTCCCTCCCCTCCCTCCCTCCCTCCCTCCCTCCCTCCCTCCCTCCCTCCCTCCCTCCCTCCCTCCCTCCCTCCCTCCCTCCCTCCCTCCCTCCCTCCCTCCCTCCCTCCCTCCCTCCCCCTCCCTCCCTCCCTCCCTCCCTCCCTCCGTCCCTCCCTCCCTCCGTCCCTCCCTCCCTCCCTCCCTCCCTCCCTCCCTCCCTCCCTCCCTCCCTCCCTCCCTCCCTCCCTCGCTCCCTCGCTCCCTCCCACCCTCCCGCTATCAGGCCAGGTTGCTTGTAGCTTATTCAGGCTATTATAGCCTCCTGTCATCCGTCCCTCATCCTTCTCTTCGCCTGCTCTTGCCCTAATCCCCTTCCACCTACACCCCTCCCCCTCCCCCTACCTTTAGGCCGGGGTCTTTGTAGCCTTCGCAGCGGGTGACTATGGACCGCCAGACAATGCGTATCTTATTGGTCTGATTAATACAATTGACCAATTTGCGCCATTCTACATGACCGTGGGGGCAAGGTGAGGCTGTCTCTCTTGTTTCAGTCCCTTATTCTCGTACCCAGTGAATATTTCTTGTTCCTTGCTCGTTCATGCACCATTCCAGACGCTCTTCCCTCTTCTTGCATCCCATCCCCTCTCCATCCTTTTCTATACCCTCCTTGCCATACTCTGCAGTACCATACTTCGAGGAGGTGTGTCCCTCGCTTCAACAAGACCAACAGCAGCAGCAGCATTAGGATGCCCAGCAAACACCACAGCCCCCACAGCCCCTACGTCATCATCGTCACCATTAAAAACAGCGTGCACCGTCTTTACCCTGAACGGGACGCGAATCCCCCCCACCATCTCTCCAGCAGCTACCACTGCCCCTACCCTCTTTAATGAATCCGCCACCGGCCCTCTCGCCTCGCATGGGTGCTCCTTTTGCCGACCCTACAGAGAACCCAACAATGAGATTTTCAAGCCCGACATCATCGCCCCTGGGGTTGCTCTCATCGGCGCTGCTCCCGGGAAGGCCGTTGGCGATGCGGGGTCGTTCCAGACGCTCTCAGGCACCTCCATGGCCACAGCGCATATTGCCGGCATCGCTGCTCTCATCATGCAGCAGCATCCTGATTGGACGCCGTCGCAGGTCATGTCGGCTATGATGACCACAGCGCGCACCACGGATAACACAAACAGGCCGATTAGAAAGGATGGTGGGAAGACAGCGACGCCATGGGAGATCGGAGCGGGGCATGTGTTTCCCGCTAGGGTGCTTGACCCCGGGTTAACCTACGACGCGGGGGAGCAGGACTTTCGAAACTTTCTTGCCAGACGGAATATGGAGAAGGCTCGGAAGGAATTTGGGTGGCGGGTGCCACTGAAACCCGTTCGAGCAAAGAATCTGAATCGGCCAGTTATCTCGCTGCCGAAATTGTGGATGAAGGGTACTGTGATACGGACTGTAACGAATGTTGCTAACACCACGTCGACCTACAAGGTGAAGATCAGTGCCCCCAAGGAAGTGCAAGTGCACGTTTCGCCATCGCGATTTACCATAGCCCCTGGGAAAAGACTTCGTTATAAGGTGACTGTTGTGGTGAAGCAGCGATTCGGAATGTTCAAGTTTGGCAGCCTCACATGGGTGGATGACAAGGGCCATTCGGTGCGCTCAGTACTCGCTCTGCATTGCAAACAGTCATGCTGGTACTGGTGCTAGTAGCCTTGTGGAAGTAGCTTTGCTGAGTAGTGTATTTTTGTTACATCCAGTTTCTCATAAATGTCTGGGTACATTCCTTCAAGCTCATGTTTGACAAATAAATCTCATGTCTAGGAATGGGTCCAGTATCCAAGTGTTAACGTTCATATATATTTGTGTTAGGAATATACCTATGAGGCCCCTAGATTGCAGGAAAATTTTCCTGATTCAGGAAAAAAACCAGACCCTGTTGGCGGGCCAGTCCTGATTGCGTAGGGTTTTTTTTTGTTCGGCATCTTAGAACTGAATAATGAATGACTAGAGAACCTGGTACAAGGATATACATCTAAGGGTTGTACTCTCTAAGAGGTGACCCTATACAGTCTATACAAACATTAGAGATACAAATGTTTGACACGGCATCCTGTTTTTTCCGCGGTTTTTTTGCAGTGAACTCTGATCACTCCGCATGGGTTATGTAACGCGTCCTGAAATTTCTGACACTCTAATGCGTACGCGTCCTGATTTTGTCAATACCGGGATTTGCGCTCCCCGCTCCCCCGACCCTCTCCTCCCCCCCCGCCCACGTGTTTCCCGCAAATCACGTCAAGGTCCCTGAAATTTCGCCCAAGTTACCGACCGGCCGAGTCATATGCTGCCCAGCTCACTGCACGGGGACAAGTGATTGGCTTAGGACGGAACCTGCAGCACAGCTGTATACTGAAGGCATCGATGTTGCACGATGTGATTGGTGCTAAGGCAAATGTGGCATCGTCAGCCAGTAGCAAAGCCTACCGTTGCGCCAGCACACTGGTGCTGTCATGCAGCGCGGGTGACAATGAAGCAACAGGTGCATGCATTGCGCTGGCCTCTGGAATGAAGGCCAGATGCAGCCCCATTGTCGTCTGTCCATTCGAGTCGAATCGCGCCCCCCTTTCTTCTCGAGGTCATTCGTACGGTGGGGCAAAATTGCCCCTCTCACTGACTCGTTGCCTAGCTTTCGCCTCAGTTTCACCTGTCGTGCAAGAAGCCCTCCATCGTCTCTCTCACGTTGATCGCTCTACGACCCCCCACGTCGCCATGGTTGACGCCGGCGACGAGGCTCCTGAGGACGATGCTGACGGCCATGTCGCAGCTATGGCCGATGCTCGATCAGGGCTAGACATGCTACTGTCTAGCCTGTCTTCGCTACGCAGCAATCCTAGGGCAGTAGAGGCCCGTGTAGCACCCACCACCGTCAATGGAAGAGCGGGCATCCTTACAATGCCCGTGGTCAGAAATACCCCACCCGCAATAGCGCGACTGCCGCCGATCCACCCAGCGAACGCTTCCTCCCCAGAGGCTGTGCAAGCAATGCCACCTGGCTGCTGGAGTCTTCCCGTTCCGGTTCAGGCTGCCGAAATTTCGGTACCTGGTCCGTCGACGTTCCAACCCGCAGACAGCGCCTCTCCAGCGGCTGTCCCGCCAAAGCCTGCCGCGCGTGTGAGTCGAGACAGCACAGTCCCCGCTGCCGAATCCCCGCCCCCAGCTGTACATGGGCCGTCATCTACTCAGCCTGCTTACGACTCCTCTCCTGTGTCTGTCTCTCATCGGCCTTGTGGGCGCTACCGGCAGGCCGTTCTGCCATTGGGTCAGCCCAAAGTGAAACAGCCCTCACCGCCCGATGAAGAAGCTGCCGACGCCGACAATGTTGACGACGCCCCAAACAGGTCGTCGACCAAGACAATGAGTCCTGAGGAGCAGTATGCGGAGACTCACAGCAGGTTTAAGACCCGTTGGTCGATGCGATTCCCGTGGCTTGTCATTTTAAAGACTGAATCTGGCTTGCCTGCCTTTAAGTGCACCCTGTGCTTGGAGCACGCAGGTCTTTCTGGGAAGGCTGGCAAGCGTGGCCCAGGCCTATGCGATGCTCAGACTCAGGCGTTCACACGACATGCGGGGTCCGGAAAGCACCAACTCGCTCTGCAGAAGCAGAACGGTCTGCTGCAACAGGCGACCAGACAACAACGCATCGATCAACATCCCCTTGCCGGGGACCTTGAGAGGGAGCGCGTCACTGCCCTACTGGACGCCTTGTGGTTCTGCTGCAAGACTAACGAGTCGACCGAGACATGGATCCGGCTTGTTCAATACCTGGCGTCACGGAAGGTGACGGGTTTCCCGCAGCAGGCCTACGGCACCTACTACAACACGTGAGTATACAATCATCACCGCTTAGCTACGGACTTCATTCTGTTAATGCCCTCTATGTTCTCTGATTATTTAGACCGTGTGGTTAGTGCGTGACTTAGGTTGTTCGTCGGACTTACAGTGTGTGTTGGTCCATGTGAACCGTGCAGGTACGGATTCGGCGAATTCACACTAGCAATGGCAACCTGGCTCCAAACAACGCAGCTTCACCACCTTCTTTCAAGTCCTTACATCGGCCTCATGCTGGACGAGAGCACCGACCGCTGCCGAGGGAAGCACTTGATCGTGTACGCCCACTTCATCCGCGACAACCGGCTGGTGTGCGAGTACCTGGCCTTGCTGACGGTGAACGAAGCCGATGCGTCTTCACTGCTCGCCCTACTGCTTACCCACCTGAACGCCATTGGGGTGGATCTCCAGCGAGTCTCCAGGATCAGCACTGATGGGGCGGCTGTCATGATGGGGTCGAAGAGTGGGCTTGTTACTCGATTGCGCCAGCAAGTGCCTCACCTTGTGACGTGTCACTGTATTACGCATAGGTAAGATATGACATCGTGAGTACAAGAGTTAACGCCGTCTTCAACTTTGGTTGCACTATGCTAATGTATTGGTTTCACGCTTTGCCATGCAGGGAGGCTTTGGCAGCCAAGGCAGCATCAGAGGCGCTTCCGGTGTTTCAAATTGTGGATGACTTCATCAAGGAGCTGGCGGAGTACTTCGGAAGATCCGGCCCGTGGCACCAGCGCTTTCTCGACTTGCAAGACCTGTTCCTCTCGACAACCTTGGAGCTCCAGGTATTCACAACATTCGATGGTTGTCGAGAGGTGAGGCAATCTCGAGGTTGCTGGCGGTGTTGCCTGCGCTTGTGGTTATGCTCAGAGAGTTCCCCGACAACAGGCTCTACAGAATTGCGACCAGTTACCGCTTCTGGTTCTTCGTCCACTTCCTTGCTGACGTCCTCGAGCAGCTCAACATCCTCAACAAGGACTTTCAGTAGCGCGAGGTGAGATAACAATTGCATTAGCGTGGTGGTATACTTGCGGACGTCACTTTATATTGTTGTCCTACCTTGCTTGCCCCTCACCTTCCCCCATCCCCCCGTCAGCTGGACTACCTGACCGTCCACTCGTCCGTCCTTCGCATCACCAGCCTGTTCCTGAGCCGCTACGTCAACTGCGGGGATGAGTTCGGGGGTGGCCCGAAGGACCATCTCACCAACTTCTTCACCCTTCATGGTCCCCGCGGCTCTCGCGAGGTCACTGTTAATGGCGTGGACTCCGACGAGAGTCTCACGAGCTTCACATTCGAGCTTCACGTTGACACACTGCAAGGGTACCCCAGGGGAGGGAAGCATGACAACTGCGTGGTGGCTTGCATGGACCTGGCGGAAGGGATGGTGAATAACTTGAACGAGCGCCTCGAGGATCTTCGCAAGATGGCGGGGGTAAAGCTGTTCTGCATTTCTACCTGGCCGAAGGACTGGGATCGGCAAGCGAGGAGGGTGCAGTGCTTGGAATGGTTCCACTCTTTGGTGGGGCTGTACAACGCAGAGCAGAGGAACAAGATCCTTCCAGGTGAACTCGTTACCATTAAACCCACCGACATGTACCATTGCACATGTGTTGTCCCAATTTCTCTCAGTTGACTGTCTCCACCATAACCTTACACCACTCCCTCGACCTCTTTTCCCATCTGTGGCAGGCATTGACAAGCGCCAAGCACTGCGGGAGTTGCCACACTTCACCCCGATCCTTGCTCCACTTCCGAAGAGCGAAAAAAGCTTCCACGCCGGCCTCACAGCGATGCTGAAGACAGCAGACTGGCAAGATGCTTACCCCAACCTAATGAAGCTGTAGGTGGCCGTGGCCGTGCTTCCGCTGAGCACGGTGGAATGTGAGCGAGGATTCTCACGAGAGAATGTCAACAAGTCGTGGCTGCGGGGCAGCCTGAAGGACACAAAGCTGAGCGATCTCATGTGCATCAGTCTGCTCGATTATGTGCCAAACTGGGACGAGGTGGTGGATGTGTGGTGGGCATACAAAAAGAGGAAGCCTTTCACTACCGTGGCACAACCTAGGCTGCTCAGGAACAAGGGAAAGGAGGTCGTGAAGGAGGGACCTGTAGAAGTGTCGACCATGGATTCTGCCATGGATGAATGAGATGTTGGATAAGTCTTAAATATGAATCATTGTTGGATCCGCTTTAACTATGTATTGCAAGCTTTGATGTGATGTGATGTGATCTTCCAATGCAAAAAGCACCATACTCATGCAGGACCCTAAATCTAAGGAACCTTAAAAAAACAGGCATCCTTTCAAAAGCTGTCCTTACTCACAAGCTTGTTTTCCACTAGGCGTCCTGAAAATACAGGCAAAAAACGAGCGCCACCCCTGAGTCATCAGGAGGCCTCAAAACCAAACTAGGGACCTGCCTATGAACCATAGCCTTGCTTTGCTAGGGTTCAATTTATACAGGGTACAAATGTTAGAATAGCAGCAGAATGAACGGAAACAAGAGAGTACAGGGGAGATATAGGGTTGGAGTTGTACCCTCTAAGAACACACACCTATCTAGCCTATAACTTCTACATACAAATATATTTATAAGTTGACACACCCCTAGGCTAGATAAGGGGCAGTGCAGAGCAGGAAACATGCAACTCTGGATGGCACTACAAGTCCAACCTCTGAGGCAGGGGTTCGAAGACCAGTCAGCAAGAGTACAAACAAGAAAACAGCATACCAGAGCGGCACTACTAGTCCGACCACTAGAGGGGAAGCCACAAGGCCAGTTAGAAAGGTATATATGAAGAGGAGTACACAATCAAGGTCCTAGCAAGTGAGTAGCTACAGGAACTCGACCAAGATGCAAACAGTGCCGCTGATGATCTTTAGGCGCAAGCGCCC